CTGGTAAGGGCGGCGGGTAAACGTTGGGTGTACGTCGCGTGCTATCGTGCTAAGAGGGTAGACAGATATGTCTGCTCATAAAGCTGTCATCTGCCGCCGTCCAGTCAACCCGTGACCATGGAGCGTGCCACCGTTCCGAAATATCGGGAAAATAAAAAGAAGTCATACCGTGGTAAGAAACCTGATACTAGTGATAATCATGTGCCATTATAAACTGCAAGAGCACCATAACTGTGGGTAAACGGGTATACAGGGACTTTGTAATCAGAAAATGCATAATTTCTTTTAAAAATAATTATTTTGGTTTCGTATGAATATCGAGAAAACAAATATGCAACCGAGATCTCGGGCACGTTTAGTTCAAAATACAATTGACATTTGATAGCGAAATATTCAATTTACTTACTGTGCAAACAGGCTCTAGTCATCGGCTGAAATGTTCGTTAAATTTGTCTTTATACAATATCAATTGAATTCCATGACACAATTACAGTAAATTTGTCAATCTAAATGCTTTGAATGTGTTTTTGGAATATATGAGAAATATAAATATCGCAGCGAAGTCACAACTATTTAATAATATAGTCATAAATAATAACCCATCAAATATATATATAACATCAAATATATAGTTTTACGTATGTTGTGCGTTTGACACGAAATACGTCGTCGAACTCTGAATGTATAGTCAACTCCTATTCCTGTGGTAAGAAAAAGACTTTTCTAGTGGGCAGCCTATAGACTATTTCATTCGTATTTCACACAACTACAACATAATAATGATTTTCATTCAAATGAAACTATTTTTCCAGATTTAAATCGCGAATATTTGTTTTTTCGAACAAACCAACATTTCGGGCCCTTTACAGGTCCCATGGTCACGGTTGACTGAGGTGGTACAGTCATCAACCAGTTATGTCTAATATTTTCACCCTAATATTTAACCACCCTATTTTTTCACTATGGTTACTAAAATTATTAATTAGTTATCTTATTTTTAATTTTACGAAGAAACATTCCAATTTACGCTACATTGTTTTACAAATTATTTTATTGTAACAATACGAATTTTTATTAAGTTAAATTTATTAATTATTTTTTTATTAAATTGATATTCAATTATTTTTTGTGAAATTACTCCACTAGTTTGTTATAATTATTAATACAAAGATCGAACACTCAGAAAAAATTCCTTCGATCCGGTCGGATTCGAACCGATTATTAATTAAGAATGGAAATTAGAATAAATTAAAACATATTAATTAGTACTGCAGTCTTATGTCTGTTTGGGATTTTTCATCAGAGGAAACACTGGATCCCAAAGTGCTGTAAAAAATTGTAAAATAAAAAATAAGGTAATTCATTATGACTTTTGTATCTGTAGTGGGAAAATAGGGTGGTTTGCATTAATATTAGACATGACTGGTTGATGAACAACCTCAGTCAACCGTGACCATGGGACCTGTAAAGGGCCCGAAACTTTGGTCTGCATGAAATAACAAATATACGCGATTTAAATCCGGAAAAATAGTTTCATTTCCTATGTGTAACATTCGCGAAAACCTAAGAACTCGATTTTCATTTAACTTTATCTTTGAATTTGGATCAAATATTAATTGGTAATTTTCAGAAGCTATGAAAGAAATAATATATCTTTTTAAACTTTTGCCAACCCTTGAGCAGTCGGTCCGAAAGTTTGCTTTTTCAATAATTAAATACAACACGAGTGGTCCAATATTACGACTCCATTAAAATTACTAAGGCAGCCAATAACACCAAGGAAGTGACATTATTTCACTCGTACTGGGAATTCTTGAGCTGAGTTCACTTTTCGGTCATTTTATGTACATATCGAGAGAAACGATCTTACCCTTGGTATAATAAAGCTACATGAAAGTAATAAAAATAATACGAACTATACTTATATAAAACATTACGTACATGTGAAATTTATTAATTAGTAGTTCTTTCGCCAAGCAGTAATGTCAGCATTACTGTTCCGGATTTGAAGGGTAAGGGTACTGGTGAAATTACAGGCACTTGGAACTTGTCAACTAATATCTCACGGTGACGGGCGCAGTAGCTACCCCTCAGATCTTTGGAATTTAAAGCTCTGAGT